ACATTTTAGAGGAGCCGAGAGCTCTGGATCTAGATCAGGTGAGGCTAAAGTTTAAATACGGGGCTGGGCCTTGGTCTGGCTGTGTGGCCCTGGGCAAGTTCTTTAACCTTTCTGAGGCTCCTTCAGTTTGGGGTTTGCCAAAGGGGAGATTTTGGTCCCCGCAAGTCTACTGATAAAGTCGTGTTCCTCGCCTGGGTGCACACACAGCGGGCCCAGGGGTACCGCCTTCCTCGTGGCACCCCCTCTTTGGATGATGGCTCCCCAGAAAGGGTGGAGGAAGCCGGCGTGAGGAGGTGGGCAGAACGTGACACGTAATGTGATGAAGCCGTTTCCCACTGAAAAAGTATTACAGAAGGTAGTTCATGACCACAGTTTTGCTCTAAGGCGCTGGGGCTACAAGCCAAGTTCAAGAACTTTTTTCTCCTGTGTTTAATGGTGCTGAAGGACAGGCTGGAGTTTCTGGTGGCGGTCAGTAACACCAGGCAGCGTTAATGCTTTCCCGTCTCTGCAGCCCTGGGGTCAGACCTGGCCCCGCTGACTCCACGTTTACCAGCTTGGGGCCTTTGGATGCTTGAATTTCTCTGTGTCTTTATTTTTCTCACCTGAAAAATGGCACTAAAAATAGCCCCACCTCACAGAGTTACTGCGAGGCTTAGATGTGATAATGTGAGCCCAGGTTTAAAATGCTGCCTGCTGTGTGAAGTGTGTGTGCTTGCGAGCACCATTATCACAGCTTTCCCTCCTTGTGTGTACACCTGGGAGGGTGGGTGTTTGTGCACGCACTTGCACATGGGTTTATTTATGTCTGTTTCCCACTAGAATGCAAATGCTTTAGAGCTTGGAGCACATAACCAACTCAGTGAGGCGTGGAGTGATTGGACAGCTACATTTCTTTGCCCGTCTTGGGGAGAAGGGGGTCAAAATGTGAGCTGAAGAATCCCTGTGCTGGAGTTGATGGAAAATGCTGTCTTCTGGGCCTCGACCCAGCACCACCGGATCAGGTGCTAGGCATGAGCTGGGATCCCTGTCTGCCCTTTTCTTTCTAGTCTCAACCCAGCAGAGGCAGGAGAGCTGCAGACCCCTTGCAAAGCGGGGTTCGCTGCCCCTCTTCTCATCTCCAGTAAAACCAGGGCGTGGTGGGGTGGAGACAGGAGGAGGTGGATCAAGGAACATGGAACCTTTGCTTGCCCTTGATCCTAGATTTATGGAGCTTGGAAATGCAGGGAAGACTGCATTCCTTTCTGTGGAACTGCTTCCTTCTTACCCACGTGCTCAAGTAGGGCTGCTGGTTGATGCCAACTATTTGACTCACGGCTATTTGCTCTCATCTGGTATTGGGGGGAGGAAGACATTCAGTGACCAGAACCTATGTGTGTTCTCAGCCTGCAGGTCCCTTCTCGGGCAGGGTCCCCAGTTGTCACTACCTCTCCTCTTTGCCTGCACTCCAGTGGCAGTGGCTTAGGACTTAGCACTGGGTTCCAATCCTGACCGGACTGCTTAGCTCAGTTGCTGTTGTTTACTTGCTGAGTCATGTCTAACTCTTTTGCAACCCTATGGACTGTAGCCCGCCAGGCTCCTCTGTCCATGGGGTCCTCCAGGCAGGAATACTGGAGTGGGTTGCTATTTTCTCCTCCAGGATATCTTCTCGACTCAGTGATGGAACCCACGTCTCCTACACTGGTAGGTGGGTTCTTTATCACTGAGCCGCCAGGGACTCCCCATTAGCTTAGTGACTTTATTTAATTCTATGTACCCTGCCTTTTCTCTCTAATAAACAATGCGGTGAACTGACTTCATGAATGGTCCAACTCATAACCCGTTTCCTGTATTTCTGATGCTGGACTCCATCGTGTGACTGGTTTTGTCCAGTGAAGTGTTAACAGGTACACTGCAAGGAGAGCTTTGAAAAAGCATTTCCATTTGTGCTGTTGAACCTCTGTCATCACCACGGGAAGGACATTTCCAGACTGGCCTTCTGGTTCCAGGAGAAGGATGAGAGACACATATAGAACATAACCAAGGTGCTTTCATCATCCTAATTAAGACCAGCCTAGACCAGCTGACAGCCAGTTAGCTCCCAAACCCCTGACTAAGCCCAGCCAAGATCATCAGAACTGCCTGCCTGACCACCCAGGAGCATGGACACTTAGTGCTTATGCCGCTGAGATTATGCGATAATCTTTGGTGATAGATAGAATGGGAAGTCCTTAATAACTGTTAGATGAGTTGAATTCTGTAAGGGCAGGGGTGTCTAGTACCATATGCATTAACTGATACATCTGACATATGACTGATTGACAGATCTGATGAGGATAAATCAGGTATCCCCTCTGTGAACATGACAAGCACTTGCTGCTCCCTCTACACAGAGCATCTCTAATGGACTGGGATCACTGCCATTTCCCTATTCACTTGGTTTCGTATAGGAGCAGAGGTGCCATTAGTGGATATGAATAGTGTAAGGGGGGAGAGATAGAGGGGGAGAGTGTGTGTGTGTGTGTGTGTGTGTGTGTTGGGAAATAGGGTAGCCACGGTCTTAGTTTGCAAAAGCTAAAGGGTAAGCCTCGGCTGATCTGCTGGGTCCTTTGGGCCCCAGACCCCAGGGAATTCCTGTTTTATTCCTCAGGGGGAACATGATTTGACACAGCTATTAGTTTAAGAACCTACCATGGATGAGTTAGAGAAATGGCCACTCCCATATTTTGGGCACTTGCTCCCCAGCAGGCCATTCTGGTTTGATTTTTCACAAGACTCTGCAGGGAGAATTGCCTTTCCTATCTTAAGATGAAGAAACTCACAGACATCAAATGAATGACCAGGGGCACACAGCTAAGAAGGTGGCAGAGTGAACTTGTACAAAAGTCCAGGGAGATAGTGAAGGACAGGCAAGCCTGGCGTGCTGCAGTCCATGGGGTCCGCAAAGAGTCGGACACATTGAACGCCTGAACAAGGGCTGCCTGACTGCACAACAGCCTCTTTTAAACCCCATGGCACTCTGCAGGGACCTTAGCCGTCCTCCAGGCCAGTCCGTTCATCTCCTGGAACAGGAAACCTCACCTGGAGAGGGGGCGTGGCTTGTCTAAGGTTCTAAATTCTGATCAGGTTACCTGACACCCCTTCTAGGGCCCTCAGGGTTAAGATCTCATTGGTCAGTGGGTATCATGGAAGTGCCTTGGTAAGTTTCCCATGAAGGCATTGTCATTTTTCTGCGCTTCATGTCAGCACCTTTAAATGCACAATATAGAACCCTATGGGCTTCCCTGGTGCCTCATATGGTAAAGAATCCTCCTGCAGTGCGGGATTTGATCCCTGGGTTGGAAAGATCCCCTGGAGGAGGGCATGGCAACCCACTCCAGTAGCCTTGCCTGGAGAATCCCATGGACAGAGGAGCCTGGTGGGCTACAGTCCATAGGGTCACCAAGAGTCGTACACAACTGAGCACCTAAGCACAGTGCATAGAACAGTAAAGAACGCTGTCTGTGTGCTGCTTCCACCCCACCAAGGGGCTGCCCGAGGAGCCCCCCATCCAGGCACTGACTCGTCCATCCTCCCGTCTGCCAGCTCGGAGAGAGAGAGCGGAGCAGGTGCCAGGGAGGTCACGGGCCTTGGCTCAGGCTGGTGCTGGCTGGGCGGGAGGCAGAGGGAACAGCGGGCATAAGCCCTGCTTGGCCAGCCGCCCCGGGCACCTGCCATCCTTGTGTGTTTGCTCAGCGGGTCGGGAGAGGAAGCAGGATGCTTTCCGTTGGGCCCTGGGCGTTCCGGGCCCCGGGGGCCAGCTGCTGGGGCTGGCACCTTCTCTGAAGAGCTGTCTCTTGCCCTTTCTGTACCTCCCTCTCTCAACTACCTGACAAGCAGGTGATAATCTGACCAGCACCTAACGTCACCCTGGGGAGATGGCAGGAGACCTGGGTAGCGTGCACAGAAGGAGCACTGGTAGGGTGCCCAGGAGCTCGGCATTAGGCCTGTTCAGCCCCAGAGGAAGAGAGGTCCCCCTCTGGCAGGGCAGCACCCCAGGCCCCTCCAAATGGCCCACTTCATGCCATTCCCAGCCCGTTTTGTGCCACGTCAGCGAGTGTTTGCTGGAGTTCTGGCAAGAACCTTCGCTGACACATTGCCGGCCTTGGATTAGACATCAGGAGCAATTTCAGTTCATCCAGAGTCTCAGGATGACTCCCTTCCTGGTAGAACCACGAGTGAGGTTGGTTCCGAGGCCACTTCTTCTAACGAGGGTTTTTGCCTTGATAAGCACTTTCTCATACTTGACCTCGCCTTGAGTCTTCCACATCCTGTGAATGAAGGATTCTTAATAGCCCCATTTTACAGGTGAGGCAACTGAGGCCAAAAGGGCTTAGGTAACTTACTCAGTGCCTTACAAGTAGAAGAAATAACACCACGGCAGAGACTGGAAGCTAAGTCTTGCCCTAAAAATCCAGCCTTCTAATTTACCCTTTAGTATTAGGGGACATTAAAGAAGACATGGGTTTTCTATCCAGGGGCATTGCACCCCAGTAAAGTCAAGCAGAGAGAAAGGAATGAACGTTTCCCTTAGTTGCTTTTTGGTTTAGGCTCTACCACATGTGGTGTCAGGGTTTCCCCAGTGGCTCAGCAGTAAAGAATCTGCCTGCAATGCAGGAGACATAGAGATGCAGGTTCGATCCCTGGGTCAGGAAGATCCCGAGGAAATGGCAACCCCCTCCAGTATTCTTGCCAGGGAAATCTCATAGACAGAGAAGCCTATTGGGCTACAGTCCATGGGTCACGAGAGTCAGATACGACTGAGCGACTCAACACCAATTCGTGGTGTCCGTTGTCCCATATAAGCCTCTGGAGGCAGGTATTTACCTTCATGTTACACCCGAGAAGCCAGGGCCCCCAGAGGCGATACGTCTTTCCCTGAGTGCCGATTACTGTGGACATGGGGGCAGAAATTGGGCCCAGGGCTCAGCCTCCAGTGCCTCACCCTTCCTCTCCACAGGCCACATGCCTGTCTGCTGAGACCGATGTGCCAGGGCAAGCCGGCGGGGCGAGAACGCTACCTCCTGGCAGGGCCGGGTCCGCACCCAGAGCTGCAGGTGCCCTGCTGGTCCGTGCGCAGGAAAAGCTCTGGCATCAGCCTTCTCTTTATAGCCTCCCTGCCGCCCTCCGGCCCAGCCTCGTGAGTCTGTGATGCGCAAGGCCAGACCTTGTAGGTCCCCTGCTCCAGGCCCTCACTTACCAACCAAGAAGACACTCTGGGGGCGGGGGGGATGGGACTGCCCGCATCCAATGGAAGGGATGGCAGGCCTTGGGGTGGAATTTGAGACCCCTCTGCCTCCTGGGTCTGTGTGTGCTCTGAGATCCGTTTACCTCCTGCCTCCTCCTGATTTCTCCGTCTCTGCTTCCTCTGATCCCTCGTGTTCTCCTGAAGAGTCACCTGTTGGGACCCTTAACCACACGCTGATGTGTGTGGTACCCCTAGTTCCATTTATGTTGATCAGCTCCAGGAAGAACACCAAGACCTCAGAGGCGGGGCCCAGGTGTGACTGTACCTTTGGAACTGGGGCTGTGAGTCGGAGGTTGCTGCTCGGCCTGTGTGCCCGAGGGCAAGCTGCCTGTTGTCTCTGTAGTGACTGCCCCCCACCCCCGTTGTATTCTCCTGCAACAATGAATACAGTTTCCCACGACTGGGTTCTTAGAACGTGCCAGGCTGTCTAGGCCCCTACGGCGGTGGTTTCCTGGGGGCTGGCAAGGTGCAGTTAGAGGAACGTTTTGTTGGGGACAGGAGTCCTACATTGAGGGCTTACCCCCACCTTCCAATGTGCTGATGTACTCCCAGCCTGGGACATTTATTGAGCACATATTGTGTGCCCGGTACTGAGGCTTGGGGGGTCAGTCACTTGTCCAAGGTCACAGCTGGTGATGGAATCAAGAGGGGAGCCCAGGTTTCTGTCTCTAGGCCCCATGTCAGGCCCCAGACTTCTGTGGCTTCTGCCCCGTTTTCATCTTGGAGAGGCCCTGGACTGTACCTGCGCACACCAGCCAAGGCAGGGCTCCTGTTGTTCTGGCTCACGGCTGGCGTTCAGCGACACAAGAGTGTCTGGCTCCTGGTGGCTGGGCGGGAGTATTGGTCTAGGGGAGGCATGAGTGAGTTCTCTGCAAGGCACAGCCCCCAAGTCCTACAGATCCCTGACAGACGCAGCCTGTGGCTCTGACGCTGGCCACTGCCACCTGCCAAGGTGCCTTTCCTGGGCCCGGGTTCCCGCAGCGCAGGAGCCATGCCTGGACGCTCCTGCCTACCGCCCGGGGCCGCCTGCACCTTGGGGCCTCCCGGTTCCCGCCCTCCTTCCCGCCAGGGCTCCCGCCCAACCAGGCCACAACGGCCTCCTTTTGTTCTCCCGTCTCGGTTTCGGGCAGACCCGGCCAGCCCGGCCCCCCGGCTCGCTTCACCCACCCCTTTGAAGCCTTGACGGGCAGCCAACGGAGCTGGCCGAGCTCACAGGGCCCGGGGCCGGTGCCAGGGCCCTGGCAGCCCCTGCCCGCCTAGCTGGCTCCCTGGAGCTGGCCGCGCCGAGGCCCCGCGCCCGGGAACAAGAAATGCCTGGATGTTCGCCTGTGCCTTCATCCGGGGCTTCCGGATGGGCTCTGGGTCCAGTTCCCAGGCCTCCTCCGTAGTGAGACTCTCAACCCCACCCCGGGCCCCCAGGGCCCCACAGAGGAACAGGGGCAGCCTGGCTGGGTTCCGAGCTCTCTAAGGAAAGGCTGGACGGGGTCGCGGGCGGACCATGGGCCTTGGCCCCAGGCCTACGTTGAGCGCCTCTCTCTGCCGTCCCCAGCCGTGGGACTCACCTGCCTCGTGCCTTAGTGCCCCCTCTGTAAGCGGGAAGAATAGAACATGCTAGTTCACAGATGTCCAGGGAGGAGGAAAGCCGTCCTGTTGTTAGCCCGTCGTGAAGTCTGCTCGCTAGTTGCTGGAGCACGTTCTCACTCGATCGTGATGGTCACTGTGGCGGATGCCAGCGTCCCAGCCCGGGAAGAGCAAGAGGCCATGGGCGGGTCCAGCATGGCCTCCGGGGACCTGGCCTCATCCCTGCACACCCAGGGGACCATGAGGGGTCCTCTGCTCTTACTCTAATTTTGAAAGCATCTCCCGGCACCTGCTGCAAGGTGGGCCTCTATTGGCGGGCACGGAGTGAATGAACAAAGCCTGCTTCCTCTGTGGCCCCATTTCTCAGGTTTAAGGTGTCTTTCCACGTGGCTGCCCTCACTGGCTTATCTACTCCTCAGCCCAGGGCCTTGTCATTCCTTCCAGGGGAATGTCAGCAAGCGGACATTTCCCTCTGCCCATCTCCAAGGCCAGGCCTGGAGCAGGTGCTCAGTAAATGAACAGTGGGTTGCAGAAGCAAGGGTCTCTCCCCCGTGGATTTAAGGCAGTGCCCTCGCCACAAACCTGTTTTGCCCTCTTTCATCACGGGCGGCGGTCAAGTTCCCCAGGCCTATCGAATTGCCGGCGATCTTCCAACCATCACTGGTCCAGAGGCAGCTTGGACCTCAGCCCCTGGCCACCCCACCTGGGCTTGGCGTACACCTGGACTGGTTTGGAACAGAGCTCGTGGCTGAGGGTGAAGTCACACCTGGAACGGTTGTAAGACCAGGCACCTCCTCTACGTGACTCTCCCGGGCTGCATGGCGGGTGGCGGGTAGCTGGCAGGGGAGACGCCTTGGCACGGCTGCACTCTTGTGTCTGCGGCCAGCGGGGCCTTTGATGCCCTCCAGGGCCACCTGCCCCGCCAAGTGCATTTGTGGAAGACAAAAGCTGCAAAAAAAGCAGCACAAATAACTTGAAAACAACCCAGACACTGCCAGGGAGCTTATCAGCCTGTTTCCTGGGTTTTGTTGTTGGAGTGGGGAGGCCAGGGGAGCAGTTCTGGCCTTCATTCTGGCCTGCACCTTGCACAGGAGTGATGCGGCGTTAACCTCAAAGCTAGCACCCCTCCCCTGCTCTGTTCTATGGCTCTCTCGTGTGTCAGATGGGTTTAATAAGACCAAACTCTGTGTTCTTGTGAGGATTAGAGGCTGGGAGGAAAGAAGCTGCTGGGCAGAAAAGCAGTGTCCTCTTCTTCCCAGGGGTGCAGAGAGACACCAGTATCCCTCAAATTTCCCTCTGGGCCAACATTGCCCCCACATATAGGGTAGAATACAGCAGAGGATTCCTCTCGTAACTCTGGGAACCTTTGGAAAAGGAGCTGCTGAAACGTCCCTGTCTTGGGGGAATAAAGCCCTTTAGCCATTGATTGACCACGGCATGCAGACTGGGGCCTCTCCAGTTACATTTCCAGCCTGGAGGATGGAAACTCAGGTGAGGCTCTGACTTCAAAAATGGCCTCTAAGCAAGTAGATCCTCCTTGTAGGGCTGGAGCTCTTTCTCCTGCTCTGCCCTGCTTCACCCAGGGCGGAGCCCCAAGGAATAAAAAATGCCAAAATCAGTCTCTGACCTCCAGCTCAGAGGCTAGTCCCTAAGAGCGCTGTTCTCAGCTTACTTGCTTCGGGTCTCTGTTCACGCTTGTGCTTGCTGTCCCAGGCCAAGAAGACACGGGTGCGGGTGATGGCTGGGTGGCCGGATTTGGAAGGCTGGGCAGCCATCCGCTTTGCAGGCCCGCCTCCACACCTCTGCTGAGCTGTGAACTTGACAGTGGTATCATCTGCATCTCTCTTGCCCTGACTTTGGCCTGATAGAAGCAAAGTGCAGAGCCTTGAATGGGGGAGACAGAAACTAGAGATACCCCCTCTCTCTCCTCCCTGCCTCCCTTTCGCACCTACTCTGTGCCAAACATCAACCCAGGTATTTATTTACTTTTTCAAGTGAACTAGAGGTTTATAAAGAGGATGCTCTTTCCCCTGCCAGAATGAGCCTTCTCTTCCTCCCAGAAAAACTCCTATTCATCCTACTATACCCAGCTACAGAGCCCCCTTCTCCATGAGGCTTTCCTGTCCTCTGGCTAGAGTTGCTGCCTCTCCACGTAGGTCCACCAGCCCTCTAGGGCTCTGTTGTAGCCCAGGTGGTATTCCCTACACTGTTCTGGTTTATCTTTGAGTGTGTCCACCCAGCCCTTTGAAAGCAGCAACGGCGACTTCTTTATTTAACTCAGCATCCCCATGCCACAGTGTCGAGCACACATGGAGTAGAACTGTGTGTTCAGAGTGGGACTGTGTGAGCGGGGACGCCCTCACCCAACTGGGCTGGGGCTTCAGATCACTCAACTCTGGAGTGGAGGCTGGAATGACCGACTTTCCGTGCCTGTAGTTCGACTGTCGTTCTTGGCAGATTTATGTCGGAGTGGAAAGAGCCCAGCCTTAGGACTTGACAGACTCCTTCTTTCTGTTTATCTCAGCTGGTGATTTGGAGTAAGTTACTTCTGCCCCGTGCCTCCGTTTCTCCACCTGTAAGATGGACATACAAAGGTTTATTTTGCCTGATTTGTTGAATAGAATAGAGATGATGTTTCCATTGCCCTGGCGTTAGCAGTAACTATCATTGTGGTCGTCTTTAGGGCTTCTCTGGTGGTTCAGAGGTTAAATCGTCTGCCAGCAATGCGGGAGACCTGGCTTTGATCCCTGGGTTGGGAAGATCCCCTGGAGAAGGAAATGGCAACCCATTCCAGTATTCTTGCCTGGAGAATCCCGTGGACGGAGGAGCCTTGGTGGGCTACAGTCTACGGGGTTGCAAAGAGTCGGACACGACTGAACGACTTCACTTTTCTCTGAAAAGGAGCCATTCTTAGTATCTCTTGGTGGTGAGAGAAGGGACAACAAAAGCATTTGTGGCAAGGAGACAATATTTGGGGCTTCTCTGGGTTTGTTGTGGGCTTCCCAGGTGGCGCTAACAGTAAAGAACCCACCTGCCAATGCAGGAGATAAAAGAAATGCAGGTTTGATCCTTGGATCAGGCAGATCACCTGGAGAAGGGCAGGACAACCCACTGCAGTATTCCTGCCTGGAGAATCCCGTGGACGGAGGAGCCTGGTGGGCTGCAGTCTGTAGTGTCACAAAGAGTCAGACACGACTGAGCATGCACGCATGCCCTGGGTTTGTTTCTTGTGGGAAAGGTGCCTTCATGAGCATATAGCAGTAAGCCTGCTGGCTAAACTAGCCCTGCCTCGGTTCCTAGGAAGTGGGCAGGGTAAGAGCCACTTGTTCCTTGCTGGCCTGCTGTGGGAACACACAGAGACAGGGGGACAAATGCTACCCATCAGGGACTTCCTTTTTCCAGCAAGATGCCAACACCTTACATTTTGTTCCTTGTAGATGCAAATCTCCTGGTGGAACTTTATCCTGCTTGCACTTGGGACTCAGGGATGATGTGGGATTGGTAGGATTGTGCGCCTTCCCTGGACCCTCCCTTTTTCTTCCCAGCCTTCCCTCTTTCTGCATTTACTGGGCACTCACTGTATGGCAGGCACCATGCTGTGTGCTGGGAACATGATGATGACTGCCACATGCTGCAGAAGAAAGACAAGACCATGCATGTGCTTGGTTCGGTAACAGCCGCACCCCCCCCCCCCCCACAAAGATATCCGCATCCTAGAGCCACCTCCCAGATGATTATCACCTTCCATGGCCAAGGGAACTTGGCAATGTGGTTAAGGACTTGAGATGGCAAGACTATCTTGGATTGCCTGGGTGGACCCATTGTTATCACAAGCATCTTTGTGAGAGGGAGATTTGACAACACAAAAGGACAAGGTATTATGACCATGGAAGCAGGTATTGGAGTGATGCTGCCAGGAACTGAGGAATGCCCACAGCCTCCAGACGTGGAAGAGATAGGGAACGTGTTTTGCCTTGGGATCTCCAGGAGCTCAGGTGGTAAAGAATCCGCCTGCAATGCAGGAGACCCTGGTTTGATTCCTGGGTCAGGAAGATCCACTGGAGATGGGATAGGCTGCCCACTCCAGTATTCTTGGGTTTCCCTTGTGGCTCAGCTGGTAAAGAATCCGCCTGCAATGCGGGAGACCTGGACACAACTGAGCAACCTTCACTTTCACTTTCTCCAGGAGGAACCAGCCCTACTGACACCTTGATTTTAGCACTTGAAGACTTCTGGACTTCTGACCTTCAGAGCTGTAAGAGTCTATAATGTAAAGCGTTTGTCCAAACATTTACCCAAATAAACAGCAGTGGGGCCAGGATTCCAGTGGGGTCCCCCCTCCCCATCCTCCCCCTTTCTGCACTCTGCCCCCTCCTCGGAGCAGCTTGCTGGGGTTACAAGAGGCAGATCAGATGCTTAGAGGAAAACAGAAGGAATGTGAAGTACAGAGGACCTTGCCTGTTTACACTAATTAAATGAGGAAACAATTTAAACATCGGCATCCTTTGCTGTGATGAGGCTGGAGGAGAGTAGGTACATGTTTGTGCTGCCATGGCAGTTGGTAGAATGCCGGAGTGGGTTTTCTTAGCAGTGTGCACAAATGGCCTTGATGGTGTCTGTGTGTTTTCATTCTATTACCTCATTTCTCAGTTTTATCCTAAGGGGATAATCCAAAGAAAGAAAAAAAAAAAGCACTCGTTTGTGAAAATGTCCATTAAACCATGATTTTTTTTTTTTTTTTACTTTGGATTATAGATAATTTCAGACATCCAGGAACATAGAGAGAATAGTATAATGAGCACCCATTTACCTATTTAACAATTATAAACATTTGTTTTTATTTACTTCATCTTTTCCTAGTATATTTTAAAGTAAATTATAGACATCATGATATCTCACTTCCATATATCTCAGGTAACTTCAGTTTAGGGTAATAAAAAGTTGAAACCAAACAATTAAATGGAGAATGGTTAAATCCACTATGATTATCTACCTAGCATAATGTTATGAGATCTTTAAGATGATCATTTTTGAAGTTCCCATTACAAACTGTCTTAGGACTCCATACTTTCCCTTTATATGACTTGCCATGCTTCATAATCATTTAATTACCTGATTATTGAATTATTGTCTGTTTCCCCAACTCATTTGATGGGGACAGTGCCCATTTTGCTCACCACTTTTTTCTTGACTGCCCGGCAGGGTGCCTGGTTCATAGCAGGTGCAAAATAAAATTGGTTGACTAAATGCCACCTGAGCATTTTAGATCCTTGAAATAACATGCTGAGTGATGCAGGCAAAGCACATCATCTCGTATGCGCACGATGTAAAAATGAAAACGTGCGTGCATACAGATGACTTCCAGAAGGCAGTGGTGGGAATTTCACGTGTTTCTGCCTGCACGTTGGGAGAGGCGGGTGAGATCTGCTCCTCCTGCTTTATTTTCCTCCATGTGGTGGTCCTGCCATCTCTGTCACCAGGGAGGCAGCCGCCGTCCTGCGGACCATGTGCTTGGTGCAGTCCGGGAGAAGAGGTTCATCCACGGGGAGTAGGAAGACTCAGTTTTGAAGCAGACACTCCCCTTTACCCCCTACAGGATGTGAGCAATCTCTGAACCTCTCCGAGCAGTTCCTTCAAGCTGAATAGGTGATCATGGTACCGGCCCCTCTGTCTTTCTCTAATTAGATGAAATAAGGATGGGCTCACGCAGGGGAGAGCACCCTGTACTGTGTTCCTGAGCTAGCTTCTCCCCACCCTCCTGCACCAAGACACCTCGGCCCCTGGCACTCAGAGGAACCGTGCCTCTGCCCTCATGCTCTCTGGTTGGAGAAGGGGTGAGCGGCTGCCGCAGGTGCATGGTGCGGTCGGGGCTCTTCCGTGTCCATCTGAAAATCCCTGCTGACTGTCAACGGGAAGGTGACAGCTAATTAACTTGGAGTGTTTTCACCAGGCTCAGTCATCTCACTAATTGATGGGTTCCTCAGTCATCCAGCGGTGTTTTCTGAGTGCTTACTCCATTCGGATTGCATATTCATTAACTTTCGGTGACTGCTGACCGCACCCAGACTCTGGCACTAGAATCTCTAGTGGGGGTTTCCCAGGTAGCTCAGTGGTATATAAAGAATCCACCTGTCAATACAGGAGATGCAGGAAACGTGGATTTGATCCCTGGGCTGGGAAGATTCCCTGGAGGAGGGCATGGCACTCCTCCAGGCACTCCAGTATTCTTGCCTGGAGGATCCCACAGACAGAGAAGCCTGGTGGGCTATAGTCCATGGGGTTGCAAAGAGTCAGACATGACTCAGCATGCACCATGGAAGAAGTTTCTTTTGAGCTCCAGGGTTCTCCAGGAGTCTCCTTCCTTGAGCAGCCTTGAGCAGCCTTGAGCAGCGTTATTGCTCAACACTTACTCATTCAGCACTTTCCACAGACCCTGTGCTCCCCTGGCCACAAAGATGCTACAGGGAGGGCCTGTGATCATGTGGAACATGCCAATGATAAACAGGAGGCTGGGAAAGAAATCAGAATTACTGGTGGTGGTACCTGCTAAGAGGGGTGCAGCCCAATTCATGGGCTCAAGGGTGATGGTCTCTGGAATTACAGGGCCCTGTTAGTAATCAAGACACCTTCTCACCAGCCCTGCCCTCCTGCTTAGCCCTGGTTCAGCTCCTTTCAGGATCATTCCTTGTATTCGTGAACAGTTCCCATCAGTTGCCTTGTCGGGGGCTAAGTCCTGTATTGTTTAGAACAAGCTCTGGGGCAGGCTGTGTCCCACTCACTAAGAGTCTCCCTGGGTGCATTGGGGGGAAGGCCCCACAAGGACCTGGAACCTGGCCAGCTGATGAAACACCTGCAGTATCTAGGCAGGTCCTCAGAGGTCCACCCAAGTTCTAGAGGACGAAGGATGGCAGTTGCTCTCTCCCTCCCCTAGAGTCTTCAGACAAGGGCTCAGAGGGAGAGGGACTCAGGAGGGTGGGGAGGGAGAACAAGTTCCCTGGCCCCGCCGTCCACTTGGCACCACGCCCTGCCCCCACTCTGGCCCTTCGGGAGGCTTTCTTCCTCCTGGCCATGGTCAGATGCCACATCTTTCTGTCTTTGTTCTCTGGCTTCCTCCGGCCGTGGCTGCGGATGTGTGAAATGGTAGCCACTTGTCAGCGTGCTCTTAGAAGATGCCGCGCACCTGCATGAGTTCTCACCCTGCACCCACCTCCCACCTCTTCTTACCTGGCCGCCAACTAATTCTTCTTTTACAACATGGTTCAGAGAATAATCCACGCCAGCTGCCTTAGGAGGTCTTTCAAAAATGCACACCCCAGCCTGCGCCCTCCTCTATTTTAGTTAATATCCTTTGGCTCCCCAGGCAGCCTCCCAGTACTGTCCTCAGGTTAATACCCCAATGTCTTCAGCTTCAGGGTCATTACTTGGCTTCTAAGGCCCTGGTGGGTGCTGGCTGGGCTTCAGGAAGTGACCTTTCGGGGTACTGAGAGTTGGGCAGGCCCCCACCACCACCCTGGGGAGAAATGTGGTCCAGCCGCAAAGATCAGGAAAGATTCAAAGATGAAATAGTGCTGAGGGGGTCATAGAAGGGATGTTGGCTCTTGCTCTATCAAGATAGGGCCATTGGAGGCTTCAGAGCAGATCCGACTTGTGTTTTAACTAAATCCTTCTAGCTTCTGTGCTGGCAATGGACTGAAAATGGCAAAGACAGAAGCAGATGAACCAGTTAAGAGGCTACCACAGAAATCCAGGGGCGGGATGACAGTGACTGTGGTCACAGAGGATGCTGTGAGGAGGGATCAGAAATGACTATATTGCGAAGGTGGAATTTGCTGGTGGATTGGATATGGGGTATCAGATAAAGGGTGATCCCAAGATTTCCCCTTGCACAAGGAGAGAATGAAGTTTCCATTTATTCATAGGGAGGATCAGTGAGCAAGTGTGGTGGGTAGGGATGGAATCATGCTTGAGATGTTAGATGGACGTTAGACATACAGGTGGAAATATTCAGGAAGCAGCCGGTTGAATGAATCTGCAGTGTGAAGGTTAATTTCACATCAGCTTAACTAGGTATCCAGACATTTGGTCAGATACCAGTTTAGATGTCACTGTGAAGGTGTCTTTTGGATGGCATTAACATCTATATCAGTAGACTCTGAGGGAAGCAGGTTACCCTCCCTGGTGTGGGTGGGCCACATCTAATCAGTTGACAGCCCCAAGGGCAAAAGACTGAAAACCTCTAAGGAAGTGGGGATTCGGCGCCCAGACAGCCTTCAGACATGATCTGCAGCATTTCCTCTTCCCTGGGTCTCCATCCTGCTGGCCTACCCTGCAGATTTTGGATTTGCCAGCCTCCACAATGAATGTTTAAGCCAATTCCTTAAAATATCCAAAGGAGATCCAACCAGTCCATCCTAAAGGAGATCAATCCTAAGTATTCACTGGAAGGACTGATGTTGAAGCTGAAACTCTAATACTTTGGTCACCTGATGCAAAGAACTGACTCATTGGAAAGACCCTGATGCTGGGAAAGATTGACAGTGGGAGGAGAAGGGGATGACAGAGGATGAGATGATTGATTGGCATCACGGACTGAATGGAATTGAGTTTGGGTAAGCTCTGGGAGCTGGTGATGGACAGGGAGGCCTGGCGTGCTGCAGTGCATGGGGTTGCAAAGAGTTGGACAGGACTGAGTGACAACGGAAATCTGTCATTTCTCTCCCGTTATTTCTTTGCCTGTTTCTCTGGAGAGCCTTGAGAACATGGGGTAGGACATGGAGTAAAGGGATACATACGTAGGTACCTATTTGGGAGTCATATTATTTAAGCTTTGAGACTGGGCATGGGCAGCAAGAGAGCACATAGGGACAGAGAGAGTTGGTCTACTGGTCTCTCCATCCGAAGTCAAGAGATTCAGAACCCGTGTGTGTGTGTGTGTGTGTGTATAATATTTATGGAGCCTTTACCATGTGCTGGGCATTCCCCATCACTGGATGCTGCCTCTTCTTAAAGCCAGACCCATCTATCTCCTTGTTTGTTCTGGAAGGTTGGGAAATGATCCCAATGGAGCCACTTGTTTGCCTGACTGATGTTTTGCAATTCCTATGTCTCACCTCCTCTGGGCATTAGAATGGAATCAGCTGTTCTTCCCTGCATCAGGAACAGATTATCCCAGCCTCGTCTTCCTGCCAGGCCACCTTCAGTTCCCTAAAGCTCCAGCCTCTTGAAGCCATGTACTGTCTCTTGACAGCCAGTAACAGCATTTATTAAAACCCGTGAAGCCTCCTTTCTAGCAAGTGTTGGTAAAACTAGTTCTGCAACCCCAAGAAACAGGGTCATTTGAACTTGGTGACTCGAAAAACCTTTGGGGCAAATAATGAAAAGTACACAGGACTGTGGTGATGAGTTCCTCCCGCCCTCTTTGTCCTTTGTTGTTCCTTGTTTTTTTCTTTTTTTAGTGTGAGGCAGAATGCTTAACCCATATTTTCCAAGAACTGTGTAGGTGGGTTGCTGGGGACAATTGATTTTTAGGGAAGTATTGGTCTTCTGGATGTGGAAACCATGAAGCAAAGAATAACATTGTGCAAGAGGTGTTCCGATGACCAGGTCTGGGCTCATTATGGTGCTGTGTGCTTGGGCCCCTGTGTTGTCTGAGGCATCACTTCTGCCTGAGTTGGATTTTGCTCTGGACTCAGGGTGATCCCAGGCGCCTTGTCACGGGGATCGGCTACTTTCTAAGGCCGTGACTGGTTCTGAATGAGAGGAAGTGCAACCTGGCAGGTGGAAGGGACACAGGCCTTTGTGTAAGGAATGCCAAGTCCTGGTTCCCATCCTGCCACTACTTTGCTTTGTGACCTCGGGCAGGTTCTCTCACCTCTCTGCGCAGTGATGTCTTCATCTGCGTTGAGTTTGGGCTTGGTTGTCTCTGAGGAATAGGACTCCAGCCATCCCAGGAGGGTTCTTGTTCAGTCACTAAGTCGTGTCCAATTCTTTGCGGCCCCAGAAATTGCAGTCTGCAGCCTCCTCTGTCCTCCACTATCTACCAAAATTTGCTCAAATACATGTCCATTGAGTCGGTGATGCTATCTAACCATCTCATCCTCTGGGAGGGCACATACCTTAAATAAAGGACCACCCCACCCTCAGCATCCTGCCAGGTGTTGTATTGTGTGGGACCAGTGCTGCCAAATACATTTTTGGACTTTGTAAGGAAATTTCCTGGATTTTTAGATGTAAGCAGTGAATTCAGAAGTATTTTAAGCATCCTGTGGGTGAAACTTGTAGCCAGAAAGAGCCCATAGTTCTTCAGTTTGTAACTCTGTACACATATGCACTGTTCTTACTGGGTTATCACAGGCTGGGGGCTGGAGGAGGAATCCAGCTGAGGAATGCACATTTGATGTGTTTTGTCTAGAAACCAGTACAAGTATTTTCAAGGTACTGTGGACACAAAGTCAGACTGGAAACCGGGTCATAAGATGGATGCTGCCTGGCGGCCTAGAGGGAAGCGTGACCTTCCTTTTCTCGTGGGTGTGAGTGTTTGCAAGGCAGCGAACTCAGTCAGCTGATCTCCTTAGGACTTAACTCCAGGTCCAGCCACCAGCTTTGTCCCTGATCCCATGGACTCTGTGGCATTCAGAGCTGGAGGAGATCAAATATTTCAGTGTATTCAGTATTCACGCCGCAATGTATCTTGTAGCTCGTCTCTGTGTGCATACACACCTTATTCATTTTTAACTGCTGTGTAGTATTCCATGTTTCCCACCCCCCCCGCTTCCCGCCCCCCAACTCTTCCATACTAATGGACAGGCTTCCCAGGTGGCACTAGTGGTAAAGAACCCACTTGTCAATTCAGGAGAC